CTCTCTCTCTGTCTCTGTATCTCTCTTTTTCTCTCTCTCTCTCTCTCAGAGTGTAGAGGTGCGCTTGCCGTGGCAGCCAGCAGAGTCACGGTACAAGTGTGTGTGATCGACACTCACACAGTCAGGAAGCACTGCTGCTGCCAGATAGAAGAGGTACACACACACACACTTACTGGCTTTAAAATGCAGCCTGATAAGCATGTTTCAAAGTCCTCACAAAGCGTGTGTGTGTGTGTGTGTGTGTTTGTGTGTGTGTGTCAGGGACCGGATGACAGCGTGTTTCTGACATCAGTGTGTTTTCGTGGTGACTACCCTCTCTACCGCCACAGCAGGATTAAAGTCACCGTTTACCACCGAGAGGAGCCGACCACACACGTCACAGTAAGTGTGTGTGTGTGTGTGTGTGTGTGTGAGAATGTGTCTATACTATAATGCTGCGTTCACAAAGCATCGACCAATCACATTGCAGAACGGGTTTGCTTGCACCTATATTTTCGAAACAACAACCCGGAGGCTCTGAAACAAGATGGCAAACTTTATTTATTTCAACCTCGACAAACGCGGCGCAGACCAGACCTGCTGCTTCCTTTCTTACCTTTCACAATAAAAGCCCTGGACATATGGTGAATATTTTACTTTTTTTGTGTTGTTTATTCGTCACGCTGCTGGTGTTTAAAGGCCTTTTTAGATGGTGGAAAGGTTCTAAAGAGAAGCTCCAGAGAGGGTTCTGGGTAGAACCATTACACCAGAGAAGGGTTCTCTGTAGAACCCCTCATAGGGGGTTCTGGGTGGAAACTTTCAGAGAGGGTTCTCGGTAAGACCCTTTGTGTTGGGCTCATGGTAGAACCCTCTGAACCTTTATAAAAGTGTTCTCCTATGAGGACACGCTGAAGAACCCAATAAGGTTCTAGTTAGAGCTTTTATTTCTAAACGTATAAAAGGATTAGTGCAGAGGATGTGTAATACCAGCGGTGGTAGCTTTTCAACACACACACACTCAATTCAGTTAATCTGGCACACACACACTCACACACACACACACACACACACACACACACACACACAGAGTGAACATCGAAGGCAGCCTCAGAGAGAGAAAGTGAGATGTTTTATATTCGTTTTTGGCCGTTTTCCTTTCTGTCAAACTCGACCCCGACCGGCCCGCCAGGCACTTCGCTAATCTGCATATTTCCCATGATGCCAATGGTTTATTTTAATCCTGTTGGCCATGTCGAAAGAGGAGGAGGAGGAGGAGGTGATGGAGCGAGCAGAGAGATACTCATCCGGTGTGTTTCAGTCTTTTCAGCTGAGGGACGAACAGTGAAGCAGGATTGTCATTTGATGGATTAATTTGTCTGTTTTTCCTGCTCTTCATCTTCTTCTTCATCATCTTCTTCTTCTTCTCTTTTAGTCCTGCGTCTTCACAGTCTGTAGACCCGTCCGGTAGCAGGAAGAGAAGCCGTCTTGTAGCTGCTGCTGTCACACATTTATTCGACTCTTTTGTGCAAAATTCAATAGAAAAGCTTTAATTTCAGCGGTGCGTTCAGGGGCAGATGGTAAACTCTGCGTTAAGTGCATTCAGTGTTGGAGGTGTTTTGTTGCTCTGCAGCTACTCTGATTACTTCTAGTTGTGAACGAGTTACTTCACTCTGAAACATCAGCTTTGTATCAAACCTCAGCATGACTCAAGTTTTATGTTTTAGTAGCATTTAGATTAAAGTAAAAAATATAGCAGGAAGTAAACAGGAAGGAAGAGGTTTTTTAATTTGTGGGGATGCAGAGGGGGATGATGTCGTGCACCAAATGTTTCTGTCCACCAGGAGAGAACAGCTCCTCTGCTGGACAGGTAGGGAGGTGCACACACACACACACACACACATACACAGTGTAAATGTCCTGTAGAGTCTGACTGAATTGTTGGAGTGCAGTTTGTATTTATGTGTGTGTGTCTAGGTTTGATGAGGATTAGCACGTAATCTTAAAAGCCTGTTGTTTAGCTGAAGATCTGTGTGTGTGTGTGTGTGTGTGTGTGTGTGTGTGTTAAACCTTCAACGAGGAAATGTGGAAACCGTTTGTGTTGTTAGAGCCTCAACATCCTGTTGGTTTCCTTCTGTCTGTCTTTGTCTCTGTGGTTCTGTTTCCTAGCAGACGTTAGCGTCACAACAAACAACAAATATGAATAAAATAAGAAATAAAACGACGATATACAAGTAAAGAAACAAAGTGCTTTTACTTTACGTTTGTTCTTAAGTTACATTCTTAATGCAGGAATTTAAGATATTTCTACTTATTAAAAACGTCTTCCTCCGTTGGATCGATGATTAAATCTGTTTATAAAATGCCATAAAGTAGCAACAACAAAGATGTTTCCATCATTTTCCTGTATTTTATAAACTCAGAGAGCTTCAACAGAAAGTGAATAAATACATATTGTTCTCCTTTCTGTTCTTCATTATTTTTACATTATTAGCATCACGTGGCAGTAAATCATGAATCTATTCTATCATGTTCATCATTGCTGTAATAATTAACACCGACGTGTTTGAGTGACTTCTGTGTTTTAAAGTCTTTAAATGTGAAACAAAATAACTTATCTTCATCAGCAGCTGAGCGTCACTTCCTGTTCACGCTGATGCTTAAAAAAAGATACATTTGTGTCATTTAACATCAATAAAATAAACATTAGAATTAAAGAGACTTTATCATTAAAATATCAAAGACAAGAACATCTGACTTCAGTTTGTAGTATTATACGTGTGTGTGTGGGTGTGTGTGTGTGTGATTTGAGTGCTTTTCACTCGTCAAGGTAATCCTCTGATTATCGCATAGCAACGAGTTGCTGAGGGGGATTTTTGGTCCACGGCCGTGACCTCGATGTGTGTGTCTGTCTGTGTGTGTGTGTGAGTGTGTGTGTGTGTGGCAGACAGAATGGGACATTTATTAATGAATTAATATTGCAGCTCTTTACATAACATGATATAATTTAGGTGTTGATTCAACCGAATTGTATTGCAATATCCTGACAGGTGTTTCTATTATTTAGTCTAAATAATATAAATAAGCTCAATAAAAAGCACTAAACATAAACACAAGTATTGAACCTTCACAACAACGTGTATCTGTCTCCCTGTGACGTGTAACTGGCTCTGATTGAGCTCAGATGATGAAGTGATGATGATATATTGTATATTAACAGTAAGATTCTGTATAAAATGTGTATTTATTATCGCAGCCAGTGTTGAATCCCTCCATGAACTAGATACAGGCTGGATCAGAGCAGGAAAGGTTCCAACATACTGACACGTCACATCTTAATGTCACATAAACTCTTTGTTCATCTTTTTCTCTCTCAGAGGAGCTTTCTGAGTTTCACCTCCTTCTCCATCGGAGATCTGCTCAGGTCCAAAGAGCCTCACATCTCCCTGAGTCTCAGGTAAACACACTATGTTATTATAATAACCTCCCGTATGAACATCTAACATCCTCCAGCTCTTATGTTAGCGTCATTGTCAACGTTTCTACCAGTTAAAACGGCTCCAAACACGCTTTACCTCCTCAGAAAACCTCCTTTAATCTCACTTTGAGGCTTCTCTCTGTAAGTGAGATGAATTCATGTCCCTTCACTGAGGTGTTGGAGACGTCACCTGATTGGCTGTTGCTTGGTTACCTGTAGTCAGATGAGGAAGTGAGAAGGGTAGCGCGTGTGTGTGTGTGTGGCTCCGCCTCCGTAGGGGTAGCGTGTGTGTGTGTGTGGCTCCGCCTCCGTAGAGAGCAGAAACACACTTCCTGTTTTAATATTACAACACCTTCAGAGAGCGTAAGACACCAGGTGATGTGCAGTAGGTAGGTGTGCAGTAGGTAGGTGTGCAGTAGGTAGGTGTGTCTGTGGTCGGTGTGCTGACACGTTACGCTCAGGTGTGTCTAATGCCTCTACCTGGCACAGGTTGGCTGAGTGACAGAGCTTTGTGCTGCACAGTTAGCTGAGGAGAGTTGGCTTCGTCTCTCTGGTTTCTTCATGGCGTGTTAATTACCTTTGATGACAACAAATGACCAAGTTAGCTGAGCAAGATGTCTTCAGTGAGTTAGATTTGTCTTCTTGTCTACTCAGCTGTTTATAAGAAGTCTTCAGCTTGATCATTTAGTGATCTTGTGTGTTGTTGATTTGTCTTGTTGAGGCTCTTATTTCTAGTTAACTGTGTCAGTCATCTTCTCGCCAGTTAGCTCTGTCTTGCTAGTTATGTTCTTACTAGTTAGCTTTGTTGTACTAGTCATCTTGTTATTTAGGAAGAGTTTAGTTTTAGGAAATCTTTTGAATCATTTTGTTGCTAGTTGTTTTGTTGCAAGTTAGCTGTTTCTTCATTGCTAAGGCTTACGATCTTTGTCACACTCGTACATTTATTGTCAGTCTTTCTTCTCATATATTCAGCAGCTAGTTACATTTTCTTTCTTCCGTCCTCTCTTTAAATCAGGACGATGGACGGCGTGAACGAGGCCGGGGAGGTGAAGGTGTCCCGTCTGCAGATGGAGGGAGAAACTCCTCCTGATCACAAGGTTTCTATTCTGGTTGTTCTTGCGTAACGTAGAGATGTCACCGCTTTCTTTGTGTTGATCTTTGCACCACGTCTCTCTCTCTCTCCAGTGTCCGGCTCTGTGCGACAATCTTCACAGCTCATTCCACAACAAAGAAAACAGTCCAATGATGAGAGCGGGTCAGAAATCAACTTAAAAGCTAGTTAGCTTTGTCTTGCTAGTTATTTTGTTGCTAGTTAGCTTTGTCTTGCTAGTTATTTTGTTGCTA